GTCAATCAATTTGAGTTTCAATTATATGTTTAGATTAGATTGGTGGTGGGCTACCCTTTTGTTTACATTTGAATTAAGGAACGCCCTTTTAACTAACTACACAGGAGATTATATTTAACGATAAGTAGCAGATGCTAGTAATCTAAAAAGGTACTTAGTTCATAGCTGCGTCAATACTTTCTAGCTGAGTGCATGTATTAAATAAGGAAAGATTTCCCCAACAAAACTGTAAAACACTTAACTTCCTTTTTCATGGGCAGGAACTGGATGTAATGATACAACTGGCTCTTATAAAAGGTCACTAACCTTGATCAACTATTATACTTTATTTATCTTCATCTAGAAACAAAAACAGACTCCACTAGATCAATAAACTCTTGTCAGACTGGGGATGTAACAGCAGGCTGTAACAGCAGTAGTAGCTTATTATTATAAATGCAATAATGGATAACATAATCATCAAAGGTAAGTTGAAACCTTTCACTGCTTTGTTTGATTAATGACACCCAATATTATACTGTAATTAAATACCCAGTTGGATGGTTCATATTCTTATCATCACTAGTCATGAAGAAAACTGACTGCATTATTGGAAAAAGGCAAAGCCTCCTTCGATCCATCACGTCATTGTGATGCTTCATGTTTGAAAAATGAGTGACAGTTATATATTTCAACATGAATTGGACAGGATAATAGAAGGAATAATCTTTACTATATTAAAGACAACAGTTACTGTAACAGTACAGTAACAGTCTTTCGAAAGGTTTTGTCTGTTTTTGCTTATTTTATTTACAGTTTCTTTTTTGTTTCAAAGGCCAAGTGGCCAGGAAAAATATTTGATCAGAGTACATCATCTAGAGGTTCTACTTTAATTTGTTGATGGCCAAAAAGCAAAAAATCAAGGAGTTCTGCTTTTTAGGGGCCTTAGCAAATGAGGAGTCTAAAGTGACTGCAGATCACCAGTCTAATGAAGTACTGCATAATGCCTGCCTCTCAAATACTAACCTCCTGTAGCTCTCTTCAATCTCCCCTGTTCCTCTTTTTGAAATAAAAATAATGAAGCAGTGGAGAGTTGAGAGACGGCAGAAGATGGTTGATTGAGTCCCCCCACTGTGCTGTGCTGTGTGTGTGTGTATGTGACTGTGTATCTCATTTTCAAATTATTTGATTGTTTTCGAACAGAATATGAAACATTTTGCAGAAAAAAAAAACCTAATCTCATGAAGATACTCATTTATAATGACACAGTTGATGTACTTTTTACACCTTATTACCAGTGTTTGGCATTAACATGTTACTTGATCAGTTTTTCAGTGAGAAGTAGTGTATAGCATTACAATTTAAAATTCAGTAATTACGTTACAGATCCCTGTTACACTCATAATATATTCGGGTCAGGGTTACACAGAAGGTTGATTTTACTTTTGTAAATGTGGCTCCCAGTAGCCACGAATATGCCTTCAATTAAGAGTCACTTAGTCTTGTTCAGCGTTAGTTGTTTAAATGCACCTTGGACAGACCTGAATTTTATTCTCCACTGATATAAATCATTAATCTGAACAATGGTAGGAGTTATGGTAGCTTCTCCCAGCATTATGTTGCTTGATTGCTTAATCCTATCTACTGTACTTCATCTGTGTCTGTCAGTTTGGCTTTGGATGGAACGTTTCCCTGTAAGGGCACGTCCATGTTCTTATTGTGTGTGTTATTGTGTGTATGTGAGTGTGTCAGAGAGAGGTGACATTGTTCCTGGCAGAAATATGTTCCAGGTTTGGGGCTCAGGTGGCTCTGGTTTGTCTCTGATCAGAGCTGACACACGGGATGGCAGAGGAACACACTCTCCCTGTCTCTTTCTTGATTTAGCTCAATCTCGCTCTGGGTTGTAATCCCCTCCTCTCTCCATACACACACAAGCACACACCCTTATGCACTGAGCTGTGGTGTAAGCTCTATCAATCTTTTTGAACATCGACACCGAGCAGCACTGCGGCCCAATAGCCTTTGCTCTTACACCTGATGCAGAGCAGAGAGCGGCCCGCTGCTGCTGAATGAAGTCATCTCGCTGGGCGGAGGACGAGGCCTCAATTCTTTGCTGCTCCTCTGTACAGTATGTACTTTTAACTTGAACAGAATAGCTTATGAATAGGTTTCTGCGTGGCCTAGAATATACTACTTCAAAGCATGCCAAATTTGAAAAGGCTGTTGATACACAGCTGAAAGAATGAGGACAAAATGGTGGACCAAATGAATGAACTGATTGCGCCGGCCGCCGCTGATATCAGACAAAAGCTGGCCGTGCCTTCTCTAGGTTCTTTCATCATTCTGGCATGTTAAGGATATTATGTTGTTGGTTCCGAACACAATTAGGGAGCCAATTGAGGAGAGTTTTTGCCACATTAATGTAAGGTTATAACAGTTTTTTGCACTCTGAATCTGGTTTCTTATGCTGAAATCTTTATTTGTGCAACAATTCAAACAACTAAGAGTGTGGATTAGATTTTTTATTTAATGAGTTGCAAAATCACATCGCTGCCGATATAACGATATTTGACGGGACTTATTGACAGGCGAGCATTTCATATTTTTGTGATGTCTATTCATCGGTGTGTAAAAGGCCTTCAGGGTGGAAGACCGCACATGTCAGGGCTTCAGAGTCATGTGTATAAATAATTTACACTAGGCAAGATGTAACCAAAATTTCATGATACAAACAACTGCCCATTGTGTTGTATTACTGCCTATCTTACACAATGTGGCCATTGTACAGCAGCAGTCCCACTTCAGCAATCGCTCTATACATAAAAAAAATCTGCTCTCTATTTATTTTCATGTTGCAAGTTACAAGTAATGTTCTGCTTACTGAAAAACACTGGTGTTGTGTTTCAATATGCCTACCTGCTTTTACCACACTGTACTAGACTTTTACAATGAGGCGACCGTAGCTGCTAGTGAGGACACTAGGTTCATGTCTTCAGAGTTTACATTCTACAGTTACACATGGCAGGTTTCGAAAGCTGGTTCTGATCTTCTTTTTTTGGACTAAATATACTTAAAGCAGCCAAGGCTTTTGTGACAGATTTGGACTTTCCACAAAATCCCTCAATCACCTAAATATCCAAAACACTAAATATTATGAAAACTAAATTTACTTATATTCTATCCAGAATCTAAGAATATGCTAATATTGTTTGTTTTAAAAGTTTAACTGCTGTACATAAGATGGCTTCCAGACTTGCGCGATGACACGAAATCCTGCTTGTACGTCCATGTCTAAAACTGAGATTCAACGTGAGCACAGAGAAACTTTCCTCCTTCAGCAGATGAACTTGAAAACAGTCTTGTAGTGTCAAACTCTGCACATACATCATTCTGCACAGCAAAGCGAAGTGAAGGAACAATAAGCAAGACACATTTTTGACCCTTTTTAGTCAAAGTATACCAAAACATATTAACATGTAATGGAGGGATTCCGTATTTCTCGACTAGAAATATATCCCCGCAGTGTGGAGAGGGCTCTGGAACAGCATCAAGTATGAAGATACATTAAACATTTTAATAAATAAGTCAAGAAAATTAAATAATCAAACATTTTAACTTATCCTTTTTGGATTTTGATTTTTGATGGATGGGGTTGTACTGGGTTATCTGGTTATCTAAAATTCTGGCTTATGTGCTGGATACCAGTGTAACTACTGGTCTGCACAAGAAGTACTTTCCAGTACCTATCCTGTGGGAACATGTTACCTGTATACCAAGCTACAGTCTAATGTAAAGGAGATTATGTCTGTGTATTTTTAGGCAGGGACATCTAGTTTTTTTTTGCAACTGTATCCTTTTGGTTTCTATTTAGTGACTGACTCCCATCTTCCCTCGGTACCTGAGATGAATTCCAGTTTGGGATTGAGTTAGTGTAATGGGATTAGCAGTTCCTAATCAAATAAGGTTAATTGTACGTCATGATGAGGAATGAGAGACATATTTAGAGGAAAGTGGCGGGGGGGGGGGCATCTTGACTGGGCTTTCGATTGCGTGCTGACTGTGGCAGCTCAAAAAGTTGTGTCTGTGCCAGCGCGTTTGATCACCAAGAAAACCCTCTTGTGTCAAACTTCCTCCGACTCCCAACTTCAAAAAATACCCCAAATCAAAGAGCATCACGGAGCAAGAAAAAGATTCACCCGCACAACCCTCAAAATAGCATAAAGAGAAATATGTATCAAAATATCATCAGTCCTCTTTTTTCTCCAAGAAACAAGTCCAAAAGAACAAGTGGAGGAGGGGAGGATGAAAGAGCAGATAAAATCACCTCCACAGTGTATGTGCTGCAGGTAGGAGATAAATTAACAGCAGGCTGTGAGTTCTCTGTTAAACCCAAATCTTCCAAAGCGGGGCACAAGTGTCCTTGGATGTCCCCAATTTTTCTTTTCCTTGCTTGATTTGATGTTATCAGCATTGACTTGGAATAAGGCTAGCTTAATATTTGTGTAGGCCCTTACTCAATAGCAATTTCATCCTTGAGCTCGGGATTGAGGCGCAATAATAATGCACCTCATTGTGTAAGCCGGTCTCAATAGGTGCTTTGTTGTTCGGTGACAATGCTGTTAGTTGGCCAATGTGTTTTCAAGGGCACAGCGGTGATGATGATGTCCGAGGCTCTCCCTTGTTCGAGAGCCAGATAAGGACCTCTGGAAAACACACACAACTGCCTGTAGATGACTTTATAATGAAGGGTATCTGGCTTCCATTAACCAGGCGTTATGATCACCCACGGTTACATAAGGCTAATGATTTGCATAGGAAAGACAGCTTTTTAATTGCAATGGTCAGCACATACACTTACACCAACACATCGGTATGCATCTCATATCCAAAGTCCCACCTAAGAGATGTTTGCCTTGTGTGTGTGTGTGTATGTGTGTGTGTCTTCCACTCTACTGTATGTGTACACATCCCCCAAAAAGACTTCAAAACAAGAAAAAAGGAAAAACATGCAACAAAAATACCTTCGTCTCGAGGCTTGTTCATTGAAGATTCATCATGTTTTTTTGTGAGCGGACCTAGGGTTAAGAAAAAAAGGGGGGAAAAAGAGAAAAGAGAAAATTCAAAAAAGATTACTGGCAAAAACGGAAAAAAAGAATATCAAAAAAAGAAAAGAAGAAAGAGCAAAAAGGACAAATCAGCAAGAGTTCATGGTTGCTTATTGTTTTGTTTTGTTTTTTTCCTTTAAAAAGAGTACAAAAGCAAAAACAAAAGGCATCACAGACACAGACTTATCACAAGAAAAGACACAAGATCAAAGAAAGCTGTTTTTTGGATGTGATTTCCTTCTCTCCCCCTGCAGAAGAAAACGGCTGCCATTGTTTCTCTCTCTCTCTCTCACTCTCTCTCTCTCTCTCCTTGAAACCCTGTTTGTTTCCTGAGCCTAACTCTTTTTTGGGAGCTGGCTGGCTGGCTGGCTGGCTGGGTGGGTGTAGTTGGTGAAGAGGGGGGAAAAAGGGAATGTGGAACAATAAGGCCTCTGCGGTTTGAAGAACAGGACCCAGCCCTTTCCTCCCACCATATGACCAGAGAAAAAAGAGACATATTTCTAAAAAAGAACAGGCAAAGAAGAGGACACCTATAGGAAGAATGGCAGGTTTGGGTCCTGATGCTCAAACCCCAACATTTTTTCTTAACGCTGACCTTTCAGCGGTGAAAGCACATAGAACACTTTAAAGGGCTGTTGCACAGCGTTACATTAGACCTTTTTAGATAGACACACTGAACACAAAGACACCTTTAATTAGACAGCCACTGGTAAGCAAATACACAATGACCCTGTAATGGTAAAAGGCACATTAAACATGTTTCAGATAAAATAGGGCACAGGTGCTTTTGTGTTTTGGAGTGTGTGTGTGTGTGTGTGTGTGTGTGCGCGCATGTGTGTTTGTCATTATTTATTGGTTAAACCAGAAAGCTATTCCCCAGGCGGGTAAATAATTACATAGCACAACAGCAGAGTGTCAATTTGAAATGACAAGTAAGCGTGACACTAATTGCGCAGAGGAGTGCAGGTAAAAGGTGAATGTAATTTGATCCCCATCTGCCCACTGGCTGTTTTTGGTAAATTAAAAGAGAAGAAGACGGAGAAAGAGAGAGAGAGGGAAAGAGAGACAGAGAGAGGGAGCAGGAGAGAGGCACACAGGAGGGGAAACAAAGAGAAAAATCACCCCTTTTCATCCCTCCATCATCATCTCTGAAGGTTTCTTTATTATTATTTGTTGATGAACGGCTAGCGTCACATTCAAGGGACCTGACTGTGGCCGAGTAGTTTCAGCGCCGTCAAGGCCTCCTAATGTTCCTAGACGCCTCCTCATAGAGTCAATCAGGACAGGAGGCGTTTAAGAAAAATACGACAAAATCAGTTTTGATCTTTATCCCGTTTTGTCATACTCCTGTCGTTTTTCATGCGCGCTTCATTCGTGTACACGTAACACAGAAAAGAGACAAGCCACCTTTTCAAATGTAACAAAAAGCTATATATGTATACTGTTCACCATCCTTTAGAAGGTGAATGTTAGTAGAAAACACTCTGCATTCAGAAAGTAAGTACAAATATACTCTTTCGCCTTTCATCGCTTTTCGCTTTCATCTGATAAATCCACTTTGAGAACTTGAGGTTTGGTAAAGAAACAGGATTTTATTCAGTTGAATCTGTGAAAAAAAACAACTTATATAACATAACACAGACGGACTCACTGGAGGAGTCTGCTCCTCATCAGGGTGTTGTACAGAATGGGCAAAAGCATACAAGATGGCTGATATCTGTCAATTATCCAGTGAGAACCAGACACATGAATGACCAACCTCTAAAAGGTGTGACACCTCAAACACTCGACATTTCAAAATAAAAGGACATAACAAAACGTTACATCAACTCACAGAATACGCAATATAGGCTATAATAAGGATGGAGTTTAAGACGTGTGAAAAACACATCCCAGGTTGAAATCTCTGGGAAGGCAAGATTTTCAAGATTTTCATAGGGAGGTGGTTGGGTTAGATAAAGAATGTATACATAGGCATATAAAGAACTTTGACACCAGAGACCAGGGGTTGAATCCCAGGTGTGGTTAGGCTAAAGTGTTACAAATAAAAAGAGCCATAAAGACTCAGAGCCAGGGTAGTGACTGTGAGGCTGCACTTAGGCACACTGGTATTTAAAGATAAATGCCAACATCAGCAAGCTAGCATGTTTGTGTAATGTTTACCGTGTTAACCATCTTGGTTTAGCGTGTTAGCATGCTAACATTTGATAATTAGACAGCTGTACAGCTGAGGCTGATGGGAATGTCATTAGTTTTGTCAACTTGTTGGTGGTCCTGTAGGAAAAGTCGGGGGATCACCACTAGGAGTCACTGTCTGGGAACCATAAATGTTTGTACCAAACAGTCCATCAAAAGTCAGGCGATAATCAGCGTCATTAAGATTCATCCTCTGGGGACCATGAATGTCTGTACATAACTTTATAGCATATTTCAGTGTGGACCAAAGTGGGGGACCAATTAACAGATACATTCCCATCCATAAAATCCCAATGACAGTGGCTAAAAATAAGTAGACAGTCAACAAATACAAACAGGATAGAATTAAAGACCTATGTGAATATTAAAAAGTAACAGATCCTGATGAAGTATTAGTTAGTGTTGTTGAGTTAATAACCCACAGCTGACTGGATTTTGGATTTGCTTCTACCAGACTCTCCTTCTGGTTGTTTGGGCCTTTACATCAAGAAATAAACACTGCATTTGCTGCTAATTACTGGATTTGCTTGCTTGCTGGCTCAAACACTTAAAGCCCCTACAAGGAACTTTCATTTTGTGTTGATTCAGGCGACCCCTGTGGACAAAAGCGGTAGTGTTTCTGACACCTCGTTGCATTGATTTCAAGGGGAATTCGACTGAATCCAACCCGGTGGCAGGCATTAAGAATACCTACATAGAAATAGCTTCTCACTGATGGTCCTCATTGTTTATGTAGGTCATATAGGCATCAGCATTAAACCTCCTTGTACATTCAACACGAAATGTCTTATAATGGCTAAAGGAATGAAAACCTTTACTTTGACAAGTAATATTTATTGCCTTAAAGCTAAGATTTACAGAATTTTCTAGCAATTAAAAACTTAAAGCTGAAGTTTATAATATTTTCTGTGCTATTTCCAAACTGAAAGCAGAAGTTAGTAGCTACAGCTGCAGTGCTGAGGTTTATATTATAGTAGTTTACCAACCTCCAAACATCAGGTAAATAATTGAGTGTGTAAGTTCATTCTTGAAAAATGTTTTACCAAAGAAACAAATCGGAACTCAAGGTTCTATTTTTCTGGAGGGTTTTCACAACCTTCCTGACCTAAGTAAACTCATTTTGCAAAAGAAGTCTGTGAGATGGTGTTAAAAGCCATGAAAAAGCTGGTAAGTGGACCTTGAGTTAAGATTCTTTTCAGGTAAACTGAATTACTTACAGTCCTTTCTCTACAAAGGTACTGCAGCTGTAATACTGTTTCATACAACATTACTGCTTCATCTGCAGCACCTGATTAGCTCATTGATTTTTAAATAGGGTTGTTGTAATGTTAGCAGAAAACAACCTTAGGGGCATGTTAATAACTAATGCATGTCAAAACTATTTACTAAAAAGTTTGTCAAGTCATAAAGAAGTTTTATATAATATCCTGCCCATCAAAGAACACTTTTTTAGGGGGGAGGATGACAAAATGGGGAGAGCAGAAATCAAGCAACCATTACCGGCCCGGGAACATGCTGAGAAAAAGTGTAAAAACCGAGCTTGATTGACATCTTTTTGCAATGAGCGGGGTGAGGAGCCTAGCAGTGTGAATCAAGCAGAGAGAGAGAAAAAAATAGCTGGTTTTCTTGACATTTTTAAGACTCCTTTCCCAATCAAAGGAGCTGAGGCGACAGGAGCGTGTGCAATTTGTGGAGAACCATACCCCAACTCCCATCAACGCCCTCCACACACACACACAACCATCTGTACGTGACAAAAATAACAGCAATTATCAGACACCCAGAATAGACGGTAGTAGTACATTTGCCTGACTACTACAGCACAGGGATAAAAAAGGGACATCCAGCACATTCTATTAATATATTACATTTTTTAGAACCAAAAATAAGGTTAATAAGACGTTAGCAGTTGTATGACGCATGTACTTTTTCCAATGTGGTAGCCAGTCACAAGTGCCACGTTGGCCGCGCTTAAAGTAGCTGCTAAAGAAAATATTTTTGACCTAAAGTTGTTTACGCCCTCTCTCATCTACAGTCTCTGTCTTTTATCGTCTTCTCTGTGAAAACAGTTTTCTCTCTCTCTCTCTCTCCCCCTCTCCTCGCGTTTGGCCGTGTCTGTATCGCCGGCCGACTGCAGCTCACTTTGAAGCCGGTTACGTAAGGCTTCACTTCGGCTCCACTTCTCCCCATGGGCACACACACACACATACAAACAC